ATATCCTTATAGTTCTCAGTATTAAATAAATTGCAATAATTTGAACAAGGATGTTTTTTTAATGAAATATTTTTTAATAGATTTGCTACGATAATCTGCATAAACAGGACATACCAGTAAAAAATGATATTCGTCCTCCACACAATTATGACAAGCAAAACATTTCCTATGCGATTTGTAAGTTTTATTAACAAGTATATTTCCCAGTTTCAATAGCTAACAGGTGTGATGATAATCTTAACTTTGATATATATTTTTAAAATTTGTCAAAATGTATATTTTATCCACCTCCCAACCATTTATACTTGTCTCTACAGGCAATAAACTCGCTTTAAGTAAATTTTCAGCAATCTAACAAATAATTTTAATCAAGCGAGTTTATCACTTGTAGAGATAGCTGCAGATCTGTAGCGTTATGGTTTTACATAATTTGTCTTTGACCAAAACGCTACAGATCCCGTAATGCAAAAAAAGTGCAATTTACGGCGCAATATTTTTTGCGCACTTTTGGGGAGAATTTCTCCACTTTCCAGCATCGGTCAATTAGCTACATTTCACTCCCTTATTATTGAGCACCTTGTTTCTATAACAATTATAACAAAATTTTACTAAAAATAAATTTGACCATCCCGTTGAATAATAAATTCCTTACTTATGATGCCAAAATATTTCCATTTCTAATTTTTTTCTCTGTGATAACTATTTGAAAGTTAGGGGTAGTTTATTTCTTGATAATTCTGCCGGAATGTAAATTAGGCAGGTCGATAGGTCAGGAGCTAAGGAGGCCTAATACGCATGCAATTCTCGTTCGCATCTGTGTCTGACGCTGAAGAGGCCAAATATGCATGTAAATCTCGTGCGGCTGCCTTTGTATTTGACGTCGGTTGGCGAGGACTATTGAAATTGACATGGAAGTCATCATGTGATTTAAATCTATTTATCTACATTTTTAAAGTCTAAATTTTCAATTTTATTTCACAATGAAATGGAAATATAAGGAATCACTGTCTAGTTAGGAGGGTATGTCAGGGACATCAACAATAGTGGGAAACATGGGATAATATAAGCATAACGGGCGAAATTATCCCATGTTTCCCACTATTGTTGATGCCCTGACATACCCTCCTAACTAGACAGTGATTCCTTAAATAATTCCACCATATTAAAAGCTCTAAATTATGAATTGCAATGGTCGGTCAGTTTGAAGAGACATTACCTTTATATATTCCTGTTACTGCAATGTAACACCACGGGATCTCTCTTCACTACTCTGAGTATAGTTATTCCTCTACTTACGGCGCTGATTAATCTTATTCCTACGATACCTTGGTTGTTCACCAAATAATTATTTAGATAAAATCTTTTCTACTGTTCATTCACTAGTATAAGGCACTATTGATCATCCGTTCCTCCATGATTAGATAAAAGAGTGCTTTTGTTTCAGAATCGGAATTCCCCTTTTCTACGAAAAAAGCCCCTTTTTGTCAATTATTACATAGGCATGTTCACGATGTATTTGTAAAACACTGACAGTCACTGTTGCCCCCGTTTGGCAGCCCATGACCAACATTATTTGTTTTCAAAGTATAAGTCAATCTCCAAAGTATTTTTATTACACAAAGAAAGCTCTTGTCATGGAAAGAACACACATGTAAAAAATGAAAGCCCAAGTCCCGCTATGACCAAAATTTCAGTTAGGCCATTCCAAGTTTTTTATGGCATCTTTCAAAAACCTACCTAACTATTCGCAATAAACACACGAGCAAAAACATAAAACACAGGCTTAAAAGTAATTTTCAAATGATTTGATCTAAATAAACTGCTTAATTAAATGCTTAAAATACACCCAATATAACTTACTGTACAGTGTTATTTGGGGAAATTGACAAAATTAAAAAAAATCGACTTAATTTATCAATTTCAGGACTCCTGATGTTGTGTGTTTTTTCTTATATGGGGTGTCAAAAATCAAGGCGCACGCGGACGCTAAACATAGAAAAAAACTTGGAATGGCCTTATAAACAAAAACAAATAGATAAAAAGAAACTATTCACCCCGAATCTCTGCTTTCGGAGACTCAAAAAATGAAAATAATATAATTCTTCATAGCAATCACCGGAAGTTTATTTATTCTCTCTCTTACATTAGCAACAATACCGTTCTTGACAAAAGAAGCCTCGATTAAACTGACTTGAAACGTTTTTACCACATCGACAAACACATTTGCAATTTCAGCTATCAGATCTCAATTATGATGTTCGCAGGTTTCCTTTTATTTTTAAAATAGAACTTGCAGCTTTGCTGATGGATGAATCCTCCTCAAGTCCCAAGTGAAAAGTGATCTTATAAAATTACAAAAAATATCACCGATATCGATTATATATTAAATCTTCTTATCATCCTGCACGCCACATTTTTTACAAAAAGTTGATGAATTTGAGAGTTACAAAATTGAAACGAAAAACCTAAAAAAAATTATACAGTTCTTTCCTACTTGCATTCTCAGTAAATATTAATACTATACATTTTTTGACTGGGTTCCAAGGCAACATGCGTTTCGTCGGACCCTAGAATCTTGCCTGATGCCGTTAGGCCGAAGGCTAACAATTTGATTTGAGAGTCGAAAAAACGCATTTTGCCCGAGAAAATAAGTCAAAAAATGTTTGTTATACCTGTTCTATATACATGTTCATGCATTTATATGTATCTTGCACTGGCTTCCGTGATGTAAGTTGAAGTTACTCGGTCAATTCCGTCACTGTCGAACATCAACGAATGCAAATAAGATTTAGCTGATACAACCCTTTGTGTGACGTAAACGGTCCAGTATCTCATAGACAGGTCCAGTCTCACTCAACGGTCTAACATCGGATTGTAAGACTTTTCAGGTATAGGTTTATAAAGAACAATTTTTAATGGTGTAACAATTCTCAAGAACATATATGATAATCATCGTTGCTCGATTTCGTATAGAACCATCTTTTATCAATGTCATGATGCTGACTGCTGAGTGACTCGTTAAGATATGAAAAAAATTACCCCTTTATATTTACTACTCGTTCGAGTTTACACAGACATCAAATTGTTTTAAAACAAGAGATGTTTGTAAAACACTCATGCCCCCCTCCCCCAAAATTGGGATTTTTGAAAATCCAAAAGGGCATAACTCTGTCAAAAATGGCGTGATCGTACCCAAAATAGAACTTGACCTACATGTAGATAGTCATCCGATATATCTGTATACTAAATTTACATCATTTCAGCATGTGCATCAGGGGCGGATCCAGCAATTTTTGAAAGGCGGGGTTCCAGGGTTGTGCCCCTCTACCCCCCCCCCCATACATACTCTCAAGCAAAGATTCACAGATTTGTATTGAAAAATCTAAGGTTATAGTAAATACTATCTTTATTTTACGTCCTTTATTAAAAAAAAAGTTTACTCCCAGTCCGAACAAAACAAAACACACACACAAAACCTACACATTTCATAACTATGGAAGCTTTAAAATTGAATGGATTTGTATCATTTCCGAAGAGTATAAAGAATTTTCTTTCAGAATTTGAATAACTTTTTTGGGGTGGGATGCGGGTGGGCTTTAAAATAAAGAGTTACATGATATGTTAGTTCCTTCAAAAGATCTAGATATGATAAAAAGGGTACAAACATAGTCAACACAGCCAAAGATGACGAGAATCCAATATCAAATGGAACATCGCATATTACATACCAGGGTATAATATACAAGATATATAAAAACAAGTAGAATATTTTCTACCATTCTCTCTTTAAAAAGTATAATGGAGGAAACTAAATGTGTGAAAATCTATCTATTCAATATATGTAAGACGTACAAATATATAATCTCAGAAAACGTATTACCCCCCCTCTCTCTCTCCACTAGGCAAAAAATAAAGGGGGGTTCCAACCCCTGGAACCCTCCCCCCTCTGGATCCGCCAATGTGCATGCAACCTCTGAGAAGAAAATGAACGAAAACTGCAAACAGTTGGAATTGTTCTAAGTCCAAGGGGCATAACTCTGTCAAAAATGGCACGATCATACCCAAGACAGAACTTGACATAGATATTCATCTGATATATCTGTAGACAAAATTTCATTTCAGTATGTGCAATGGAACGGAAACTGCAAACAACTGGAATTTTTCTAAGTCCAATGGGCATGCATAACTCTGTCAAAAATGGCACGATCACACCTAAAACAAAACTTGACCTAGATATTCATCTGATATATCTGTATACCAAATTTCATTTCAGTATGTGCAACCTCTGCGAAGAAAATAAACGGAAACTAAATGGACCATCAGATTGACCGACCGACCGACAGACAGCAGCAAAGCAATATGCCCTCCCTTCTTCGAAGGGGGGCATAATAATAAATATCTAAACACAAAAATGGCTTAATTTTGTAGTATCTGGCTGAGCGAAATCATGAAACTCGATAGCTTAAAGCAATATGAGCTGTATCTTTGAAAATTTTATTTTACTGGTAAAATGTGCTATTATGATTAAGTTGAATGTAATTTAAACCCTTATGACCAAGAGAATAAAGTTTAAAATTTTTTCAGATGAAATATTTCTGTACAAAGAATATACAGTTTTATTTATATGAAATCATTTAATAATTCAATTTTGCACTAAAAAAAAAAAGCAAATATGAACAACAGAAGTTTATAAATGATTTATTTTTCTGTCATTAAATTAGTTAATCACAAATTTGCAATAAAAATGTAAAAGATCATATTGCTTTAAAGCACTTCGGTTTCTCTTGCAGGAGAGAGAAAGAGAAAAAGAATAATTAAAAGATGTGCTTTAAAACCCACTGAAAAAAAAAGAATAAACGTCAGAATCTCGCCCACTATAAACGTCAGAAGAAGCATGACAAGAAGTTTTCCTACATAAGGAATTAAGAACTCATAATAACGATATCACAGTATAAATCGTCAAAACTAACACAGTAATGTATTGATAAAAAATAAATCAATGAAAACTTCCATTTTTATAATTTAGAAGCTCGTGGGGATCTGTTGTAAAGCAAAGCTTTATTATGATTTTTTCTATATCAGGTGTTCTTCAGACAGTATTAATATCAACTTTTTAGTTATTTTAATGGCTTTTCCTTTTACTAAAATTGTAGACTACTTTCTGTCCGTGGTATGTACATGTAGTAACTCCATTTTCACTTGGTTATACCCATTTTTTATTTTTCATAGCCTTACAACATAAAACATAATTAGTCCCGGATATCCGGTTTCTTTGGCCGGAAGTAAACATATCTGGTGAGCATGGACACAATACAAGGCATCTGTTTGACGTCATCAGTGAACTCCTCATCCGAACACGACTCAAACTCGTAGGTCACCATACGGTTCACCTGAGTGAGCATGTGCAGAAGTTCCATTTTGGAGCCATAGTTCTCTAAGACTATACACAAAGCTTGAATGAACCAGGAACCCTCCTGATGATTTCTCCAAGAGTAGAAACCTGAAAATCATATCAATATGAAGCATGTTGTAAGGAATCGTTTACATGTTGATTCGAATATCTGTACATGTTTGCAGGCATCGGGAAAACCAGGAAGAGAGAGGGGAGACCCGGGAGAGGGCAACGCAACAATACCTTTATCACAAATCAAAGAGGCAAGTTATGATAAACAAACTATTTTTTTTTTCAAATAATATTGATATGTTTATTTTGATTATATATTCCTATAATCTTAGGATTATTTGCAAAGGCTCAAAGAGAACGAATATATATATATTTTTTTACCTTACCTTGATATGATGACGTTAAAAAAGTCTTCTATAAGTCAAAAAATATTATTTTATAACAAAATTTCACATTTCAGGCGCAAAGTTTCTTTCAGATTATGCGTTGACCTGACACAGTATGACAAAAAAGAAATCCTTATTGAATTTGAGGTTTCAAGATCACATGTCAGCTTCGGAAAATCAGATAAAATGTTCCTATATCAAGTGCCTTTCGAGATTTTTCAATGAAATTTTATATATTACCCCCCCCCCCTCCCACTCTTCCATCCACGTGACTCATAGAAGACCCAGATCGATTTTGAGGTCAAAATGAGACAGGCTACAGTCAGGAATTTATACATTGCATAGTTTTCAAATGCTAATATGAGTTTTTTAGGTTTTGCAATAAATTTTAAGTAACGGATCTCTCTTAGACCCCTATTGACTTTGAGATGAGAAGAAGAAAGGTCAATTCTTTCATTTCTTCAACTGCATCTCTGTTTCATTTTTAGGTCTTCTATCAACTTAATTTGTTCTCAAGCGGGGAATTAATCTCCCAAATTTCTTACTTCTTCCCTTAAGTAATTTTCTTTTGTATTCAATTCATTTCTCCACGGCCCTTTCTTTAGGGACTCTTAACCATATTTGATGAAAACATGTTTCTCTTAATTTCAAGAGAATCACAGCACAAAGTTGGTGTAGCTACTCGACAGAGGATGTGTACTTTTGCATGGCACCTGATCCCACCTCTGATGTTTTAAAAGTCATACATTGTTCCAATTTACTTTTTTGATATTGATTACTGTTCGTTATTTTCATATTTTATCAAAGACAGCATAGTGTCTGATTACGTTATAATAACCCTTTTCTTCCGTTATTTGATAACCTTCTGTCGGCAGTTCTTATTTAAATTATCTTCCCCGGCCTTATTTTTTTATATTAATGGTGTCACCTGGCACTGTGGAATAAAAGAAAAGGAAATCAGCTTCCACCGGGATTCGCCTCATTCCGGAAAAACTCCGCTCAGACTCCTCGGAGAGAAAGCTTTTATACGACACCGTATCCTCAGCTGATTGTTCCAGATTTGAACACCGACAGGACTGCAAATTAAAAAAAATCAGCTTGAGTGTACTCTAACCATAGCGTTAATATCGTATTAATAAAATCATGTCTTAACCTAGTGTGACCCGAGCATTCTGCCTCGGAGACTAATGGATACAAGCATTTATAAATCATATGACATTTGAGTCCATCACCTCAAGCAGTATAGATTTAATAACAATAAAGAATTGTCAAAATATTAAAAGTTTTCTGTATTAAATAGTACCAAATTAAAATTTGCTTTGTTTTAACTCGTAATAAATTTGATAATCACGAATCTTAACCATAAAGTTCATATGTTAACAATTTTAAACCTACTATACAGTTTAGTTAACTGTCAGACATAAAGAAACTCTTCAAACTCTTACTTGTAAAAAGAAAAGTTTAGGTTTTCCAACCAGCATAGGACACTTGTCTCCTTTGAAAGGGACGATGAGGACATCCAAAGGCAGCATTCCGTCAGTGGCATACACTCGGCCCTCGATTCCGTAGCTAAGGATAGCACAGCCAAAGCAGTCGGAATCAGAGTGGTCGAGCTGAGCAGCTGGAGAAAACACAAAATCAAATAAATAAATATACTCTGGGATATTCACGTGGTTTTTTTTTGGAACCGCGCCAAGACATTCATGAGGAAATAAATTACATTTACAATTGGCGACAAAGACATGTTTGTAAATATTCTGGGATATTCATTTAAATAAACATGAATCCGCCCCTCGCCTTTAAAAAAAACAAAAACAAAACACAAACACATTAAAAAAAACGAATGCAAAAATGATTTGAGGGGAAAGCATCGATTGATTATCAGTTGAAATTGCATCCTTTTGTACCACTGGCTATACATTCGTCTTGTTCTACAGCTCTATTTGATTTGATACAGTGTCAATTTACCCCTTATTGCTTGCCGTTGCTTGCCGTCTTTCATCATAATAAAGTTCTGTACTTTACTTGTCAATAGTCCTTCTACATTTCTGTCATTTGTCTTTGGCCAAGAATTATTTTTTTATATGTTATATATTTCCATTTCCAATTATTTTGCCTTGAAGTTTATTTGAAAATTAAAAAAAAATTCTCATGGACTACCGTGTGAGGAATACGAATATTTCCATTGCGATGTAAATAAAGTACAAAAATAGTACAAGCTTTTTTCAGCAATATGGTTGAATGACAAAAATATATGTCTAATCATCAGAAAGTATCAAATATAAGAAATGAGTTTAAGTTTTGGGAATTCATGAGGTTCATGAACTACAACGATTCACGCCTGCATATTTACCACAAAGCACTAATGCTAGATTCTCCATGCTATGTAGAATATATTAATTGGGGAAGGCGACTTAAGTTTTTAGACATCATGACAAGTCATATTTCTTGTCAAAAGAAATATGGTTTCATTAGTTGTTAGATAAACATTTTAGTTCAATGAATGGTCTCCAATCCTAAAAACAGATGACAATTTGTCACAAATGCAAGACTCGTCTACATATTTGGACAAGAACCGACATTTACTAATGAGTCTTCCATTTTGATTATTGGAGAATTGACAAATCCTTGCTTTGGTCAATCGTATCTCTTACAAAGAGGATAGGAAACAATGATTTATGAACAGGTCAATAATTTATTTATCCTCTTCTGCAGTATTCTCTTACTAGTGTGTGATTCAATGTTTTGAAATGGTCTCATTTATTAAGTCTTATACGGAAATAAATTCAATAATATTTGAATCTAAATGTCATAAACTGCATTTCCTGATAAATCTATACATGGATCCATACGTTCGGGTTACATTTTGCGGTAATGATCCAAGTCTTTTTCTTTTCTTGTAAAATCTAAATATTCATTCACGGAAGATTCACGTACTTTGGTCTTATTATCCCCTCGCAATGGAATTGGAGGGGGTATACTAATGTTTGTGTGTGTGTTTGTTTATCCTCTGCGCAACGAAAGATTTGCAATTTGCAACAGGATCGAGGCTGAATGTTGCCTTGATTTATAGATATGCTCTTTGTGATGGGGATGCCTCTCTTTGTAATGCTCTTGTTTTAGTGTTAAGGAATTTCATCATTTTCTACTAAGTCAATAAAGTGTGTTGCAAGAACTTGGCAGGGTTATCTAAGAATTTGAGAAAATCAGGCGTCAATAGATGAAGAATGGGTCATTATGTTGTAATCAGACATTGTAATGGTGTCTTTGATTTCTCATGAATTTACAAATAATCATAATGGAAAATGGTTGTGTGACTCTGAAAGGGAGATGTTCATATATGGACATAAAATACATTAAATGAAGAAGATGAAGAAACAGTGAAACCATTGATAGTAATGGGGCAAGATAAGTTCTTTGTAAAGATAAACCTCTTAAGCATCTTCAAAAGAAATTAAAACTGTATATAAAAGGAATTTTTTCCGAAAAAGCAAAAACTGAAAACCAACAATATCTAAAGATCCAAACACAAAATAATGCAGTAAAAAGGATCTTTTAATTTACTCTCAGCTGACTGTTTTATACCTTCGTTCATGAGCTGCAGTAATTTGGACGAGGAGACATCGTTATATCGCCGGACATCGAACCCGAGGTCCTGGAACCGTTCTTCTAACCTCTCTGCGTCTGCGTCAGTTCCATCACGTGGTTCCTTACCTGTGGACGGGTGAAAGTTTTTGTTGTTGATGATGATAAAAAGGCCACGTTTGTGATAATTGAAGTTGTACTCGTTGGGCTCAGACGGTGCTCCCGGACGAACCGACCTACGATCCCCACTGAAAAACACAATGCATATGTACATGTACATGTATTGTTTCGCGGTTTTATGTGAACTTCTGCATGGGTTTACCAATAAACAATTTTTTCCATTGTCGTTTGATAATTCAGATCTGAAATGAAATATATGGAGATAACAAACAGTTTTCAGGCTCAAAAGTACGTGTCATTCAAACAATACAAATTAGGAGCAAAGCAAAATTTTAGAAATTGTTCATAACGTAGAGCACGCTCTTGCATATCGAATCAACTGAGAGACATAAACCCCGTATGAAGGTGATAAGGGTTTATTGCTATATAAGTAAGAGAAGTTGAAAAACTGAAGACATCACGTATATCATTAAGCTTGGGTGATAGGTTACCATTTATCTCTTTTGCTTGAGTAAAATATCCAGGTACATGTATGAGACAGATGTGTCAGACTCTGTGGTATTTTTCATTTCAAGCTTACTGGGATATATCGTGTCAACATATGAATGAAAATAACCATTGTTTATTGATATTTACGTCGATAATATATCTAAATTTCGAGGCAAATGCCACAAGTTCAACAGGTGTTTTCTTTTTCTCAAGTATAAGGTTTTGAATAAACTCTGCTTCAAATGAAAACAAAAAAGTTTGCAAATAATGGGGCGCAATTGGTACTCATGAGAATCCCAACATATTTATGGAAAAACTGGTCACCAAAAACCACATCAATATTGTCAATCAAAAACTTACAACATCTTCTTAATATCAACTTCATAGTACTTGTGTGTAAAATAAAAATGTTCAAACTAATTTATACATACACCTTTTTCTCTTCGCCCTTGTAGTACAGTGATAGAGCGTCTGTTGTAGAGTCGCGAAGTAATTAGTTGATCCTTAAATCGTGGGTTCGAATCCCACTGTGGGGCGTGGAGATCGATCCTTCGAGGTCTCAGTAGATGTTGGCACGAAAAAGATCCCTAAATGGCCCTTTTTTAGTACCAAGCTAAGGTCAAAATTTGCTCCACCGGCAAGAGGTGGCATCTCCATATGAGTGAAAAATTATCGAGAGGGACGTTAAACAAATTAACAAGCAAAACCTTAAACACTGCAGAGAAGTGGACACGCTTTCGCCTATAGGTTCATGAATATAGTCGGAAAGCTTGTCCACGGCAAAGAGAATTAAAGACCCTTATTTCTCTATAGTGATTTGAATGTTGCACCTCGGTTCAAAAATAAAACTATTGTACCACATCATAAACTTTGAAAACGAAACATATTGAAAATTTCTTGTTTCCTATCGAACAGAAAATGTGCCAGTGGGAATCTCGGCCTTACCTCTGTGAATATTTTAATCAGTGAAGTATTTGTAAGAATTGGCAACATCAAAGGCATTAATCAATTCATGTATAACAGACAAATGTAATTCTGTACTTTTCTGGAGGGTTGAATCTTCGTCATTTACATGATGATGTGAACAACTCTCTATAGATTTGTCTGACAGTGTATCAAAAAAGGAAATAACGGCGCATATCGTGCATTATTCAATCGACTTTCTTAGAACAATTTTAAAGACGGAGAAAGTATAGGTCTTCATTGCATTATCCCATCGTCTTGTAAGAAGGCACCAGTCATCCTTCACAGTTCTCCAATTTTCACTAATGGAGAGTGCAATAACATTGATTACCTGAGAGACGATAGTTTCGGATTTTGATACGCACATGTAAGGAACAATCGATTCCCAATTAGAAAACCGTCTCATTTCCTCATATAATTTTACCCTTTTCTACAGGCCCTTAAAGGCCATTTATCGAAACATCAAAGAGTTAAACAGTTGCAGAAACTGTGCCAAACAAATTAACTTCCGGGGTCGTGTGGTTATTGCCTGATACTTTTCCTTAATTACCGGGCAAGGTGCCTGGCATTATTTAATTTATTAATGTCATACCTTGATAAAATTATTCCTATGATTATTTTTGAAAATTGATGCATGCATGTATAAGGACAACTGAATTAAACTGTAAAAACTATTTTTTATGATGAATTTAAACAATAGACTAGGTATGTTAATATGATTTTTATTTTAAATGATTTTTTGCAGGAATTCTTGAACGAAAATAAGTGTTCGTAGTTTAAAAGTAATTAATTTGCCCAAAAATGTAACATTTTCCAACAGACTTACCTGACTTTTCGAATAAGGTAGGGAGATTCCTGATTCTCGACGGATGTCGCGAGACTTTGACGTGATGACGCTAGGGATTCCAGCGACTTACATAGAGTCATCATAGTCAAACCAAAATAAAAAGTTTGCCGAACAAAGGCAACAAAACAATTCCTAAAAATGGCATCCGAAGCAACGAAACACCCTATACACCATTAGGTTTACTGCGTAATAATGAATGATTGACACACATGGTCTCATCACTGGTAAAAACAATATATACTTAGTCTCATAAACGCGTCTCCTTTTGTACTACCCGGTAATCCTACAAACGACAACCAACAATCAGTGCCTATCCACATTCTCCTACCACCAATAGTCAGGATCAATGAACTGCGCGTGAGTACTGCCGTAAAGCAAAGAGACTGGAACGCTACTCATAGAAACAATGTGCTTGTGTCCAGTAATATCGTTAACTTTCAGATTCCCATCTATAACCATTTCGCCTGGAATTATTAAGTTCCGGTAAACTCTAACTTAAGAACATTGACACTTTCTCCGAGGATATTCCCGTTTCCTCACGTTCCTGATAATTGCGTTATGATTCAATGACAATAATTTGTCCAGTTATAACAGTGTAGGTTATAATTATAAACAGGAATGGTGAAAATAATAAATTTTCCAGCATCTCCCATTGGAAAGAAAGTAATTACAATATTATATGATTTTATGAAACTGTTCTCAGTTGAAATATAACTATATCTATTAGTACTTAATAACGATAGCTCCATGGTGCAGACAGGTCATCTTTATTTCCAATAATTATTCTCATTCTCAGGTTGTTATTGCTTTGCCACCTAAGACCACTTGGGTTCCACTGTAGTACAAGGTAAATACCAGGAAACACTAAAAGCTTTTGATTTGATTCCACTGGGGTACAAATCCATCGAATGAGGATACAATTTCTACCCTTTCTAGCAACGGGAAGCGAACTGGTTAATTCCTATGGCAGTTTTTAGTAGTTAGAGGCTTACTCGTTCGGATGGGGCTTATGAACACAATAAGCGGCTTCATCGACGCATTTCTCGTGATTTTATCGAAATAAAACTCCTTTTCTTTGTGAAATAATATTTCCTATTCCCGTTTAATGCGTCTCTAAAATCAATATCAGAATGCTTGATTAATTATCAAAGAAACCTCTTCTGGGGTGTATAGAAGCTTACAGTCCGTAAAATCTTCATGTTCTCTACTTTTTCAAGAGGAACTGATTAGTGGATATCGATTTCTACCAAATACCTCTGACAAACCATGTAATGTTTAATTATCAACTAAGCCTGCCAAATGTGAACTTAGCAACTTATAAAATGGAAACATTTTTTTTCAATCATCTGGGATGCTCGTTGATCGTAAAAGCGCCAGGGCGGTCAGTCATTAAATACCCGCCAGTCTATCTTCACAAGACACAAGTCACGGCTAATGTTATTGTTTCCTATTAAGTCTACAGCAGACTACGATCGTGATATCTGTTAACTGAAAACTCAAGAGGACATTGTAAATATTGGCTTTTCTGTAAGAAAACCTTTCTGTATCCTTATAGATTGATTGGCAATAGAAGTTCTACAGATATGATGGTCTGTGTTGTTTCCTGATAAGTGAGTTCATCCTTAATTCTCCTGATTGAATTGACATAAAGAGTATTCTATGTTTTTCCTTTCATTGTACTTCTAAATAAGTACTGTTTTATGACGCATGTTAATTTTTTATTTCATTTCGAGAGTGAGTGCTCAATCCCTAAAAAATATATAGCTGATGTTTAAGAACCTGAATATTTCAAGCAAAATTCGTCAAGCTGTCACAGAGATAATTTATTGCCTCTGCTGGGGATTGAACCCGGGGCTATGGCTTGCCAGTCCAGTTCTCTACCAGTTGAGCTAAAGGGTTAACCCACTAGCCCAAGACAGTAGGATGCCATGCATCTTACAGTACTAAATTGCCCCCCTCCAGATAATGAGATGTCTAGTTTCTTATATCCACATGTCGAATCAATTTATCCCAGTGAACTTTAATAAATGAAAGATACTATTTAGTCTGATACGTCTATTTCAAATTTGGATGTTTTACAAGAGAAAGACGTTAATGGTAATCTCACTACAAAACTTGATAAAAATTGATTCCTTCATTTTTTTTTCTATCAGTCACCAGCTTTCCTCACTTGTGTAACAATAAACCCTTATCACCTGCATACGGGGTTTATGTCTCCCAGTTGATTCATATGCAAGAACATGCTCTTCATTTGAACGATTTCTAAAACGCGACAGGCTGTTGTCAAAGAAATTCGACTCGTTCATAATATAAAGTCATCATTTCGAAAGTTCTATGGTCGATACAATAACCTTGTCTACAAGTATCATGAAGTCGAATGCTGACTGACGTTTTCATACCAATTGTTCAACCCATCGTTTACACACTGAATTGTCATGGGGTTTTCAGTGTGACCAGTACGCAAAGGATACTTACTCCTCCATGGCACCTAATTCCATGTCTGATATTTAAAGGTCCTTCTTTGTTTAGCTCCTGGTGTGTATTGTTTCGATGGTCTTTTGAGCTTGAGTACTCTTCGTTATCTCCAAATTTTATTCTTTAAAAATACAGTAATACATGCACGTAAGTGTATGCTTATTTATGCGTTTTTCCTTATATCCGGTAAACAAGCGAAGTTGCATTTTACAAAAAAGTTATACATTAAATCTTGAAAATTTACATGTACCGGGCGAGCATGTTGCTAATGAAATTCTGATGTTAGTATTTTATGTTTCAAAAAAATAATATAAATCCTGAAATTAGAGAAATAAATGCCGAAAGAAATAAAATTCTATATGAATTTTGGGACAATCGACCTCCACTTGGACGTCTAGATGTCAATGAAAATTCAAACCCTTATTACACATCTTCAGGACACCAACACATATTCTAAAATGATAATTTGGCTGTGTAGAAAGCAAGAAGACCTCTTACAACGTTGTTTTTGTTGATAGACGTCGCTTTTCGACACCCAAACTTGGCCTCCAAGATAAAAATAAAATATCTTTCTACACCTTAAGGACAACAACAATCACATTTCACAAGATTAGTTAGCTTCAATTTAAATTAAGACAATAAGAAAAATTCCTGGAACCACACTTAAGCTTTTTGTAGGAAAACCATGAATTGCCCCCAGAGTTAAAACTAAATTGACATTTAGAGATACCATCAAATTCCAAATGAAATCGCCGCTTTTTTAAAATAGATGATGAACTGGATAATATGACAGACGGGCTGTCCGTCTGTCTGTAAACAATTTTTCAAAACATCCTCCTACAATATCTGATTTCAATAGAGTGGCACACAAGTAGATACATAAGATACATAAAATAGTGCATCGGTTTTTGAGAAACAAATGAAAATCACGAATTTTCTGTGAAATTTTTAAAATGCTAAAGTTTTGATGATTTAATAGGCACACAAGTAATCAAGATACATCAAAAGTCCATTTAGAACAATGCATTTTCTGTGAAATTCCTTTGCTAGCAATCTCATTTCAAAACTTCGCACACGGACATCTAAAAAAAACCAATTGTGAACGGTGTTGCAATGGTTTTTAAAAATAGAATTTTCTGTGAAATTTCTTTAGAATGCTACTGTTCCTACAGTTTTGATCTGATTTCAATATAACTTGGCACACAAGTAATCTACACTAAGATACATAAAATAGTGTGTTGATTTTGATGAACGGTGTTGCCATGGTTACTAAAAATAAAATTTTCTGTGAAATTCCTTGAAAACGCCACTCCTTCTACAGTGTTGGTCTGATTTCAATATTACTTGGCACACAAGTAGACTACACTAAGATACATAAAATAGTACATCGGTTTTTGATTTCGCTGAACGGTGTTGCCATGGTTATTAAAAATAGAATTTTCTGTGAAATTCCTTTAAAACGCTACTCTTCCACAGTTTTTCTGATTTCATATTACTTGGCACACATATTTCTATTAAAAAAAGTTCGGTTTTTGATTTCATAACGGTGTTGACATGGTTACTAAAAACACAATTTTCTGGAAATTCCTTTTAAACAATTCTACAGTTTTGGATATGAGAGAAATGCACACATGTATGAAATAAAACATAAAATGTGCAGTTTTTGATTTCGATGAACAGTGTGCCATGGTTACTAAAAATAGAATTTTCTGTGAAATTCCTAGTAAAATATAATATATTCTTGAAAATTAAATATTTTCATGCAACAATTAATACACTTTCAAGGTTCTAAATCCATAAATCACTTCTAATTTCATATCATGTTAATTTTTTTTGCTTTTACGGGATAAAAATTTTACTTTTAATTTGACCTTTTTAGAAGTCCTAGAATGAAGCACATTGAGAGGCATATAACAAAAATTGTTGCATGAAAAGATTTCATGTTCAAGCTTCATTTAAAGACTTTTTGAATTAAATATAAATTAAAGATTTTTTCCAGTAATATGCAGGTGAGAGTGTGACCCAATGATTCTTATTATAGAATTTCATATAATAAATTCTTGACCAATCTGAAGATTAATACACTTTAACTAAATTAAACGATCAAATCCTTTTTTTGGCCTTTAAATGCCGGGAATAACGTATCAGTCATTCGGAAACACCAATACATGCACGTAAAATATTGTAATATTGATCTGTAATTCATGATATGTTTCCTTGATAAGCCCACTGCACAAAAATACTTGAAAAGACTGATTCTAGTTATTTAGCTAACAATTTGATTAAAGATGTGGGTTTCATCAGAAATAAATGAGAAAAAATATTCAGCGTTTCTAAACATAAAAGTATGACTTGAAACGGTTTGTTTTTTTAATTAAATTATTTTTGATAAACTTTTTTTCAAAGCTACATGACATCACTGATCACATTCCAAATGTTGACCCCAACTGGCCTACGACAGAAAAATTTAAGAATCTTATTCCTTGTTGATGCACATGAACTGGACAATAAAAAAACATAATTCAGAAGATTTAACTATTGTAGGCATAAAATAAAATGTAAGAGGAGTTTATGAGACAATGTTTATGTTGTTGTTCATCCCCATTTCCGCATTATAAGTCTCTATACTGAAAATGAAAATTATCAAGTCGTATGAACATCAACATTACCTAACCACTCATAATCCAAAGAAAATATAGATATTGCGAAAACGAAAATGGAATTCTGGAGACCAGGTTTCTGAAGATAAATCTTATTTTTTTACCCTCATCTTGTGCCCGGGATAAAATTAAAATTTTTACTCCTTTTACCAATCAAATTCGAAAAGATGATATACCGTGGTAGCTGCTGATAAAATCATAATGTAAGAAGAGTTCTTTGAACCATGTTGACTTTTACCCGAAATGTTGTTTCCTGTAAATTTCTTTCTATAAATTTAAACTGGAATTTCAACAACCTCGTTTCTGTCAGCGATTCGCAAATTTTATTTTAATAATAATGACATTGTTTAAAAACCTAACTTATCATTGGGTCGTATTTTGACTGACATGTTTTTACCAATTGTGCTGCCTTTATTTATGCTTATTTTGACTATATGAATGTACGTCTGTCCGATCAATACATA